TTTTGTTGGACATTTGTTCTAAAGTCTCAATATTAGAAATTATACATCCTTACAATTATGCGGGATTCATCATCGCAGGATGTACATAATATATGTGGACATTGGTCATTAAAAATCGACCCCATTTCAGTGACTTCAAGTGGCATAGTAGGACATCGATCTGTCAAACTGATTATACCAGCTGTAAACGTGATTATAAAATTGATATATGTCGTTCATAAGTCGAGCCTTTTTTTTTCCTCTGTTCGGGACCTAACACTACTGCGACCAGTAAATTGATCTATTGTAGTATATCCCGTATCCTTAGTTTAGTGCATGTCGTAGTACTCCATCACTATTGAGAAATAATGAAGTATTATTCGATTTTTTTTACAGTTGCCACTCTTGCATTTATCGCAAGGATCCGACTCTAATTGAAAGGTCCCGCTATTTATATCCTTCGGAGTGTTGAAACACCCTGCAAAGGCGTGCCCCTTTGTCAGTCAAACTTGGATTCCTTAGCAACAAAATTAAGGTATGACACCGATAATGACCATGCATCAGAACCCTAGTCTTAACCGCTTCAAAGTAGAGAACAACGAATAGAAGATTAGGAATCACATAGATGAAGACAACTAACTCATTTTTTCCTTGTTTCAAGATCATCCTCAGTTGGCAAAGCCGAGTCTTGTCACTATCAACAAGGCATAAAAAGTAACAAGGACTAAGATGTGTTCCTTGGATTACTGAAAAATCCTGTTCCCCTAGTCTGCAGTAGCAAGGACTAGGAATTGGTGGTAGATCTTACATCCCGTAACGTACCACGAAAAGGTGATCTACCCACGTTACGGGGAAAAGTGGAGTCTTACGAAATTTTTAAGTTTATTTGCCTCAGTGGAGGATGCGATATACCGAGCTGTGGTCCAATGCAAGAAAATGCAAAAAGAAAAACGTGGAGTGTATTAGTGAGTGAAATTCTCGCGTCACTTTTCACAAGGTCATAAGTAACAAATGTAAACAAATCGAGTTAAGCGATGCAAACTATTGCTCTTCTATCATTGTATGTGATACAAAAACATCCATCCAAATTTACTTTCATTTATTTAAGATAATCATAGGTCAAAAATTGGGTACATGATTGTTACTACGGTCATTCGGACTGCCCAACATGATTGGTGCCCATTTTCTAAAACCGGGGCCAATCTAAATAAAGTTAGGTACTCTACTTTGAAATCTGTGAAAGGGAATCTTCTATCATGTAGACAAAACGTCCAATGTAACACTCATTGATCTTAATTGTCATTCAGAAAAATTGTCCAATATAACATGTCCGATGTACAACTTGACTAGTCAAAACGTCCTATGTGGTTTTTTCTTTTCTATATTGTAGCATGAAATTAAAAGTAAAATTGTTATTTTACCGTTTCTTCTGAATTTTGAACGTTATTATTCACTGACTACCTTTGAAATAGTATGGTGGTGGTGTATTTATTGACTTTATTTTTCTTTGCCTTCGATGTCATATCGATCAGAAATGACGTTTTCGTGCTAGAATGTATTGAAAAATGTAGAAGACGCTATTTTGGAAAAAAGTTACAAGGTTTAAAGATTTTTTTTAACAAACAATTATGCTAAGTTCCATGCATACAAACATAGAAAAAACCGCAAGGTTCTAGGACAATTTTTATAATGTGGCCACTTTAACGGCCAATCCAGATTATCCGGAGAACCAGAATATAGCCACTATACTCCAAAAATAGTTTACATATTAAATACGCTTTGATCTCTTGATTTTGAACAACATAGATAAAATCACTTGGTTCTAGGACATTTTTTTTATAATGTGGCCACTTCGGTCGTTCCGGATCCTACTTTAGGCCAGTAGAGTCTCCCAGAGGGCGTATATGGTGTCTTTACACCATATATACTTGATACTATCAATTTCCAGTAATATACGTATACTTAGTGTAAATTATGTCGATAGATCGCGGCATTTCCTGCTTTACCAGGAACTCGGGTTGATCCCGGCCCTCTATCTCGGTACGCAAAAGTCTCCGGCCAATAAGACCACCATCAATCAGCAGAATTTTTCCTTTGAGAATATGTATAATATGTTGAGTGATACCGTTTGGCAGCCGAGATATTCAATTTAGTCGCGGTTTTGTAAATTTTTGCCCAGCGTGCATCGCTTCGACATAATTTCCTCGATCTAGTGACAACTCACCTTTGACTCGATCTCTTCTTATTCGCAGACCCAAGCAATGCTTTGCTTCACCGAGATTTTTCATCTCAAATCGACTGCAGATGAACTTCTTCAAGGACTTCTTCAGCTTGTTGTCGTTGGTGAATATAAGAAAATCGTCAACGTCAAAAACTTCATCTTGTTGCCTTCGATCTTGTAATAAAAGCAAGCATCCACTTTTGACCGTTCTAGTCCAAATTATCGAAGGGCATCATCCAACTGCTGGTTCCATACACGACTGAACTGTTTTAAGCCATGCTTCTGAGTCGAAGTACCATTCTTCCTGCTGCACATCACCGATTGCAAACACTGCACACATTGCACGACTTTTGTTACGCTTCGACGATCCAGATTTTTCTGGAAAGTTTGCAGCGTAATGACCTGGCTTGTTGCAATTGAAACAGCAATTGTCCTTTGCCTTGCTCGAACCGCCGCCCTTGCAACGCCTCTGTTGTTGCTCACCATTGTAGAACGCTCTTTCATCATAGCTGCTCCTCTGTCCCTGTTTTGGCTTCACGTCCTGCAGGATCTTCGACTAGACTGCATCTGCTGACAAAGCTTGACCAGACGCTTCCATGTCTATTACCATGGGAGCATAATATTCCGGTAGTTCCATCAACAGTTACGATGCCAACCAATCGTCACTAACAACAAAGTTCATCTCCGCCAGTTTGTGGCTCGTTGAAACCATGGCATCCACGTACGCTTCGGTTGTTTGGAAATTTTCCAATCGAATCGAAGTAAGTTGCTGCAGCAAACTGATTTGCCTGTAGATTCATCTTGAAAAGCTTTCTTCAGCTTGTCACAAGCTTTTTTGGCATCCTTGGCGGTCAGCACCAAGCTGTAGTTGGTCTTCTCCAAACTGAGACAGACGGTGGACAACGCCCTCAGCTTCGTGTCGTCATCCACGACCTCGTCTTCACGCGGCTCCACCGCGCTCCAGGTACCTTCTTGGATCAGGGTCATTTTCATCGCGAACGCCTACGACACATAATTCTCTCTTCCTTTAAGCTTCTCTACCGCCAAAGCGACGCTGCTCCCAGTGGTGATCCAAAGCCGCTGCGCTTGATCCCAGTCCTGTTCCACTTCCCGCTTCACCGTCTCCGGTATTTGCCATGATGGAAAGAATTTCACGATTGCTTCAGAAAACTTTTAAAGAAAAACTACTTGAAAATCTTCTGGTAATGCCCGTCGTTCTGGGCCCATAACCTATCGGAATTGAAGAGACGTCTTGATAGGTTGAGTTACGTTAGTGGAATGAATAAATTTATTTAACCTTTCTTTTTTTTACTTTAAATGATCTATATTTCTTGAATTTGTGTGGTTTACATGTATAACTTATTAAGTGACACAGATGCGTCTTTTCAACTTTAGTTCTTTTGAATTTCAATTATTATTAATTACAGTTCCTAGTCCTATAAGGCCTGTTTTAGAGAATGACCACCTTGGTGGGATTGGTTTGTTTTAAGTTGAAAAAGGAAACTACTTATAACTACTATTTATAGCTACAACTAACCTACAGTACTACATACACCTAATCTACTATATATATACAAATTGCTTATCAAAGCATGTTCTGATAGAGTACATTTTTGTGCACTAGCTGGTGATTGGTGGAGTGCCCCTTTCTGAACCCAAACTGTTCAGGAAGGAGTATGTTATTTTCCTCGACAAACTTGAGCAAACGATTGAGAATGAGTTTCTCGAACAATTTGCTCAGCGCTGAAAGGAGGCTGATTGGTCTGTAGCTTGAAGGCAATGTCGGATCCTTACCGGGCTTGTGGATTGGTATGATTTTTGCTACTTTCCAGATGCTTGAAAAGTAGTGCAGTTCTAAGCATCTGTTGAAGATAGCGGTTAGAAGAGACTGCACTTTAATGCTGAGTCTCTTCAAGATCAAGTTGAATTATTTAACCTTTCATTATCATGACATACTAAATACATCGCGGATTACTTTGATCCCATGCTATGCTATTCTGTTTTTAACTAAATAAGTTCAAATTTTGCATCAGTCTAGTGGTGTAAGTTTGTGTAGTGGATTACAACCACCTGTTCCCCATTGCTATTTAAGGTTCTCTAAAATGGGGTGAAGTTGCACTGCACTGTGGCGATATTTCCCATCATTACCCTTTGGCCAGCAAACACAGTTTATCAAAATAACATAATTTGGCACAAGTAAATTCAACTTCAAAACATTGCATAAAAACCTGCATAAGGATCTTGTTGTAAAAAATAAACCCAGCATGCAAAACTAAATTCTTACATTAGAAAATCATTTGCTATTACAGATTTCAGAAGTATTTGTTTGTATGCTAAACGTGTCGTTGGGAGAATATTCAGGTTTATCGGTATAAAGTGCTCAAGTTCTCCCCGTTTTACGATACCCAACAACTGTGCCAAATTTGAACGAAAATGTGCGCGATTTGGTTTTTGCGGGAGAATTTGAAAGATTGTATAGGAAAATGTACGTACGGGAAACGAAAAGAAAATATTAATTTGATAGTCAAAAACTCACTGAGACAGAGATTAGGAGAACATTGCAAAACAAATTTTGACGAAGACCGTAAATCGATGAAACTGCTGTGCAAAAAGTTATTAAGGTGAAAGAAGGAGGAAGCCCTGGTGCTAAACACGTCACAGTGGATGGTACGAACACTACTTTGCGTATTCAACTTTTCCAAATACTTTCAAAAATTCATCAAGTGATGGCCGATATCATAGCAATCTTATTGCCTACCGAAGTTATTGTTTTCTCGAGTTTAATAGAGTATTACACTACCTTTGACATAGTCGTCAGGCAAAACCACCCTCGGTTTTAATGTGTAGTTTTTTGCAGTCATCACTTCTTTCAGGAAGCTGAAATGGGATAAAAAGAGAATGTTTTATGATTACTAGAAGCATGGTCTTCAGTCTTAAGTTCAAAAGATTGCAGTAGAGCAATGGTGTATGTTGTATCATGCGTGCTGATAGAGATTTTCTGAAAAGCTTAAGAATTAAATCGAACATTCAAAAATAAACGACTTCGTATTTTCAATTTAAACTCAACCGCTTCAAACCGGCAGAAGATTCGGAATCAACGTCTAAGGTTTATTGTTTTTGCTCACTTTCTCGCATATGGTTCTAATTTCGATTGCATGACCGGTAGTCATATCCACTTCATCCCCCCGACATGCGTCCAGTATTCATCTTCGCGTTGCTGAACTGGAAGGTCTAATTTCGATTCATACACTTTGAAGAGCACGCGCGCCATTTGTCTGCTTGTCTAAATAAAAACATATAAAACATATTTATTTACATCAATAGAGGCATTTTTCCCTAGCCGGTCCGGCACGCTCTTCCGCTGTATGTCTCTAGATCTCTTGATGCTACGTGTAGCTGAAACAGTGTCCATAAAATAATTCGTTTCGGCTCACTTCTCCACTTGTCTGCCCAACACCGATGCAAATTGAACAGATACAGATGACGCTGCTAGTCTACTAGAACATTTCAGGTTCTAAAACTCATGAGATCGAGAAACTTTAGGTGGAGCAGGAGGAGAAGAAGTGGCATAACTATAACGCGGGTGTACAGAACTAGATTCGTTCGCCGATAATGCAATTTAGATTGATTAAAACTGTCACGACTGAACGTGACATTGAAAGTCGACTCTTTATCACCATTATTGCACTTCATCTATCAATTTGTTTGACTTGTCCGCCCCAAAGTGCCACATAGCATTTGCAACTGTATTGCTTTTTGTTCACGTTTTGTTGTGCTGCCACATTAAGCAGCATTGGATCGGTTATTGTGTGAGTACAAGCATTCACGAATTTATTTGTTTGACAAGTGAAAAAGCATTATGCAACTTAATCGTTGTGATTGGCTTTTGGAATTTCTAAGAAATCGATCCGGATTTCTTGTATCCGTTATTCATAAGAATCCCTTGGAATGGGTATCCAGCAGCTCATTATTTACCTGCCACAAATTGTACCCATAGCCATATGGAAAAACTCATACATTCCGAAAAAAGAACAATTATTTGCCGTCACACGTAACGATCCAAGAACTACAAAAAGCATTCTAACCTCCATGCAGGTTGGCAGACGGAACCCGTCTCATAAATAATCGACGCAGGCATGCATTCTTCCACGATGCATCCAAGGGTGCATTGTAGGCCATTTGATAGATTTTTTTTTTCCGTAGAACACTTCCGCGAAATACAAAAAAATAATGTGTGTACACTTCTTGCATGGACGAACAAACCCATTGTACTTGCTTGTCATTGAAACAGCCCGATTTCCTGCCGCCTAGTTGAATTTTTCAGTGCAGTGTCCCCGTCAGGCCCCTGCAGAGCCCGAAAGGAAGGCATGTGGGAAACAACAAACAACAAACAAGGCTGATAATTATGATTGAGAATCTGGGGTAGACTATTTTTAGTGCCAACAAAAAATCTGGGATATTTTTATGCATGTTGCAACATCATTACGAGCACGTTTCTGCGTCAGCGTGAGAGATGTCGTGGGTACGTATTATCATTGATTTCAATCTGTGTTGATAATGAGGCATATGATGTATATTCGTCAGTCTGTACCTTCGCTTCAGGTGGATCTACGATCAAGTACAACATTTGGTAATCTGTATTGCTTGCTGTTATATGAACATTCGCTTTTCAGTTACATTGCCATGTGATCGGAGAACCTTGAATGAAAAGGGTTTAGTCAATGGACATTGAGCAAACGGAAAGCGGGCAACACTGGCACGCTAGTTGCAAGCTTGTCGTCAATCACTTGTGGACACTTACATACGATTTATTTTATTCACAAATAAGTGTTTTTTTCCGTGACGGAAAACTCGAATATCAAGGAGTCAAGCCACTACCGGAATAATTAGAACCTGTGTCTACGGTTTTTCCGAGCTTCTTCTGGTTTCCCCTGGAAATGGCTACTTCTGGAATTAACTTCCAATTTCCGAAATTTTTCTGCCTTTCTTTGAATGTGAAATCCGATTTTTTTTCTGAAAGTTTCTTTAAATTTCGCCAGAAGTTTCTCAATTTTTGTCTTGGAAGTTCCGCGGATGTTTTTCCGACTTCTCTCAGAACTTTCTTCAAATTTCCTCCAGAAGAGCTTCTTTCTTCTTTCTCTGGATGTTGTTTTCAGCTTCCTCCAACTTTCAACTTCTTCCAGAAGTTAAAAATTTTGCTTTCAAAAACGGCAAAAATATAAAATTATTTAAAATAGTAAATACCGATAAATACCGATTTTTTAAAACCTTTCATACCGATAAGCTTTAAAACATTCTGGCAACGCTGCCCTGTGCCCCAGAGCTACACGGAGATGAAAAACTACTTAAAATTAAGTACTTTTCCCTCAATTCCGGGGTTCAGCCCAATAACTCAAATTTGAGTAAATCGCATATAGTAGTTTCCATTTAACACCAGCAAAAAAAAATATCTACACTACACTACAGTTTAATTCGCGTAAATTTGAGAATATGCAATTTACTCAAAAGTAACTTATTGGGCTGAACTATATCGTTGGGTCGAATCTCTCGTTCCTTTTTTGACAACAATAACGAGTGCAAGTGAGAGGCTGAAGCCAATATTAAGTAAAAAGAACTCAAATTTTGGGTAGTATTTTTTCTCCGTGTAGTCTAAAAAAGAATGGCCGCATTACCTTGACAGTTAGCCTTTTCGGTCACTCTGTAACTCTTTACTCCTATGGTAAAATCCCATAAGCAAACGTCACTCTATGCGAGAAACATGTTAGACATTACCTTACTCTTTCACTCCAGTGAAAAATCTCATAAGATCCTGTTAATCTTTGCTGGCTCGCTGGTACCATGGTAGAGTAAAGAGATAAGACAAAATTCGCTAGCCTTCGGGATTTTACCAAAGAGATTGCTGACGTTTATCGTACGCACACAACGTCACGTATAGGTAAACGCAAAATGTTTTCATCAGGAAAAAAAAAATTCATAGCGGAAATTTTTGCCCGATGAAAACAAATCACTGACACAATCACACTTTAGCAATCTCTACAGGAGTAAAGAGCTAGAAAGGCACCGTCAACGTCAATACTTACACGTTATTTCAAAACTACTCCAATTTGGGTAGAATCAACCCAGATCGGTCACAACTGAACCTACTCAAAAATGGGTAAACTATGTTGGGAGTGACAAGCTGACACATGAGCAATATTGGCATAGATCCGACCGACGTTGTTCAATTTTTAACCTGTTACTCCCAACATAGTTTACCCATTTTTTGATAGATTCAGTTTGACCGATCATGGTGGATTTTACTCAAATTTGGGTAGTTTTCAAATAGCGTGTACTGAGCATGCAACCAAATATCTGATTTTCTTTCACAAGGGCCAATGTCACAAATGTAAACACTAACTTTTCCATGAATTTCTTGAGAATGAAAACTCGCTCAAGTAAGCCACCACGATGTTTGTGTATAGAGAAAGTCCCCATAGCTGATAGAATTGCTGGGTTACATGGATTGACTTTGAATTAAAAGATATTTATGAAAGAAGCCATTGCTTACGTTTCCGACATTGGCCCATATGAAGATTCAGTGTCGAATAACGAAAATTTAATTTTGACAGATCGATGTCCAACTATACTAGTTATACCACAGAGGAAACACAAAAAAGAGGTCAACTTTTAGTCAGTAGTTTTGCATGAAGTTCCATATATGTTATGTGCTCATTAGCATAATTATTTTTACATTGTTAGATTGATATAGAGTAAACGCTCCTATAGTTGCGGTACGTTAGAAGCGTTAGGTCCCTATATATAGTTGTGTATTGAGTCTCCATGCACAACTAAAGGAACCTAACGCTTCTAACCTACCGTAACTATAGTAGCGTTTCCCCTAGTTATAATTAAAAATCCATACTTTAATTCTTAGTAATATCAACAATTTTCTTTTCATTATTGCAGTTTGGAAAGTGTCTGACTTCTATTTGTCTTTCAGAAATAGGAAGAAATGAGTGATATTTTTGAGTTCCTTGAATGGTTATAGCCCTTAGTTAAGCTCGTGCTTATGAGTTTCATATTCTTCAGTAGTTGCATAACAAAAGAAAATTTGAGTCATCTCCCACACCTGGACCCTACCTATCGACCCATCAACTCATGAACCGGGGACCAACGGCTTTACTTCCCATCCGAAGGAAGGCGTGATCAGAGATGTTATGCCTCAGAACATCCCGGCGGCGCCAACTGGGATTGAACCCAGGCCTGCTGGGGTGAGAGGTAATCACGCTTACCACTACACCACCGGCGCCGTTAAATGATAAATGGATGTACACTCATAAAATAAATCACATAACCAGTGGAAAATATCCATTTGAATTTCACATAACTTTCATGTGATCCCATAATTGGAAATTGCACCACTAAATCACATGAACGTTATGTGTCCAATGAAATCTATATGATTTCTCATATAGAATTTCTAATGCTATGTGATATTCAGGCAAAAATCATTGTTTTTGTTTTTGGAAAAATACTATGTGCGTTCCTAATAGAAACTAAGTGAAAACTTTTTTCAGTGTAGTTGCTTGCTGATTATTCCAGTGATGACTTTGTACTTCAACTTGTAATAAAAATGTGTAGTTTTCTGAAAAATCACATATTACTACAAATTCACCTTCCTGAAGATTTGGTTTTGTATTCTGCAAAAACATATCAAATCATCAAATTTCTTTAAGTTGTGAATAATCAAATTAACATTGCACATTATGTGTTCCTGAACTAGTTAACAATTTACAGTTCACAAAGGTTGAAAACCAAACTTGTACTTCACTATTTATTTCTTTGAATCGGTTGTAGGACTCCCGTAAAGTGCTCGTCATTAACCTTTATTGAACTGA